AAGGAGTGTAGACATCGTTGTTGTCCCACTCAATGCTCAAGCTCAAGAAGCAAACTCTTAAACTGCGTCTCCCTATTATTAACTTGCTTGCATGACATGGAAAGAGGAGGAGTTCTAGAGTTGACACGATTCAAAAGGACCCCATGAATGCAAAAAGCAAGGTATATCCAAAGTGACTATAAGTTATGCATGACGTTTAGTGAAAAAGTTGCCACCGTAATGCCGTGTACATTTGAATGCCTGCATGACCGGGGAAAACCGATGTAATGCTCTGTTTATGTGACTACTTGACGTTTGCCGGTCACTTTAAGATTTGTCTGTCCCTTGTACACGAGGTCTGGCCTTCGGACCATGCTCAGGCTACTTTGTCCTGTCGTATGCAAAATACGTGTATCGAACTTCACTTAATGACTTCAAATACCAGAGGAAGTCTCGGGACATTGCCACCAATGTAATATATTGTTCTTTTTTGCTGGGTCTACTCTCTGACTCCAGCAAGAGCAGAAATTATTTTTTTATAAAATCAATTTTTTTATGTGACGTATCATGTTTTCCATCAAACGAAAATCTAAGAGCTCCAAAAAGTCCTTTTACACTTTTAAAAAGATGGGTAATTCAATATTACACTTTTGACACATAAGTAAAAAAAATTGTAAGCTTTTAAATTGTTTTTTGTTATCAATAGAGCATTTTTCTTTTTTGCTTTTAAATCAATTAAATCAATTAATGCATATCTTAAATGCAAATATTGCATAATTATTTAAGTACTTATTAATAATAAAAGCTTACTGAAAAGTTTGAACTCATAATCAGGAATATCTGTTCTTTTGTTATAATTCACCGAATGTTCTAGTAGTTTCCGTTTCCTCTATATGGTTCCTCCATCCAGTCGTTTCCATGCAAGTCGTCGTCGCTCGCGCTCCCCTCTTGGCATCTCGGGGAGGTCTTTACGTGGAAATCACAACAATGTCTCTCTCCGCCATTTGAGAGAAAATAATATTTACTCGGAGTACAGACCTAAATTCAGGGACGAACCTCTCGTCAATGGTTCCAGGCGCGACTTCGGCCCCCGACGTTATGGTGTATCCCAGAATGAGGGGGCTTGTATTCAATCTGGTCCTTGGACGGGAAGGTTTGATTCATATTGTATGTGAAATATTTTTAGAAATCGTGGTATTCAGCCCAACCGTTTGGTGAGTGACTATCCTCCTAGACGATCGTCCACCGATTTCGATTCTGAACCGAAGCGAAATCATCGGCATAGGGCCATAAGTCCCCCTCCCCCGAATTCTCTCCCCGATCGGTACTCTGGTGACTTCCGGGTTGCAAATTTCGGACGCGGGTACTACGAGGAACGCAGTCGTGGACGTGAGTCTATGGTAGAGAGGGAGCGTCGTTATGACCCTAGGGGTAAGTTTTGCTAATTGTATTTGAAATCGCCTAACTTTCGAGGCTTTTTCTTAATGCTAACGCTTCACAAAGCAGTTTGCTACTACGTGTCTGTATGTCGATTTCGTCGGAAACAGTTGCTGACGGGACGTATACTGGCGTCTACTGATGGTTCACCCATTTGTGCC